ATCCCCCTAACTCCACCCCTGCGGCCATCTTGTCTCCGGGGGGGCGAGAGATGCGGTCGCTGCCGTGACGAGTTTTAAAGGGTCCGTGGACGTTAAAGCAGGGCCGACAGCGCAGCTCAAGGCGAGCGGAGCGGGACGTCGCTCTCTCCGACGCGCAGGTTCGGCCGGGCCGGCCCCTGCGTGCCCGGGAACCGCAACGCCCTCCCTGTCGTTTGGGGAATTGGGGAGGAAGCACTGGAGGAGCTGGAGCAGTGGAGCGGGGCGGCAGCCCTGCAGCTCCGGAAAGAACCAAAATCCTTTACCTCTGGGTCCAGCAGTGGGCTGGCAGGGCCTCGACGGGGCTTTTTTTTAAAAAGCGCTGGACGTGCTCTTCCCACGTGGGCTCCTATAAGTCAGGGGCAACTCCTCTCCACGCAGCAGAGTCACAGTAAATCAGGAGAGGAAATTCAAGGCATGCAGAGCGTGGGCGATGCGGTTCGCTCGCTTTGCTGCTGGGCGTCCCGACGCCTCGGCCGTCCCTCGGCCTCGCTTTGCGTCTTTCGGCGTTGTTCTTCCAACTCTCCAAATACTTTTGAGAGCTCTTGGGCCTCCAGGACCTGCCGGGGCTGCAAAGAAATGACTTCTGCCCGTTGCGATCCCTAAAAGCAGATCAGACCACTGGGCGCTTGCCGTTCAGGCGAGCGTCACCCCAAAGCTGGAGCGAGAGGGCGAATGGTACCACCAGCAACAACACCCTCTGCCCAGCGTGAAAACGGGCCAGAGGAGGAAGAACAAATACCCGGCTCCTATGGACCGTGTTGTCTTGCGCTCACTGCGCCGGAGTGGGAGCATCTCTCATCCCGCATGAGATCGGAGCTGTTAGGGGCAAAGGAGGGAGAGGAGGAGATCCCCCTTCCCAGCCACCATGTTACACCACCCAGACCACAGCCAGAAGGTCGATCGGCTCCTGACACTTAGCGGTATCGTGAATGACGCTCGGCCACAGGACCTCCGTCAGCATCGCTCACGTAAGAGGCCGAAGAACACCACACATTATTTGCAGCAGTCACAAAAATTGTGGCTGAGAGACCTTTATTCCTGGTACAGAGACTAGAAACCCCAAGGAAGAGATGCCCTCACGGCTTTAAATCAAGCCTGCAGGACCAGGGCAGAGGCTCATACGTACATATGTTTATACAGACCCAAGCCCATATGTTCCTTGGAGCCACGTCTGGTCCAGGTGGAGGAGAGCGATGGCGGGGGCAACGCTGATGGCAGGTTAGGTTCAAGAAAGGACCGTCTGTGCTCGCCAGAGCTGCCTGAGGGGTGCGTACGGTTGTCACCGCTGGCCCAGGTGGGTATTACAGTCATTTCTGTCGTTCAGTTGCCTTTCTCCGGCTGCGGGAGTGCCCCAGACATCAGGGCAAACTGAGGCACAGCCAGCCTAGGTGTGCACGGTTAATGCAGGTCGAGAATTTCTTCCTTCCCCAGGCTCTTGCAGCGTCACGGAGCCAGGACGCAACAGCCACTCGCGGACCGTGCCAAGCGCAGCAGCGACGAGTCGGACCAGCGCCCACCTCCACCAGGCCTGGAGACACGGCGGCGAGGAAGCGGGCGTCCAGCAGGCTTTCGGCATGCTCCGTGGGTGAAGACTACAGCAGCCCGGTGAAATAGCAGTATCTGCTCTGGTGCTTTCCAGCTGCTGGGCACCGCAATCTGGGTCTGAATCACCTTCCTGGAAAATACTGGGCCAACGCTGACCTATTAGCTCTTGCTGGGGCTGTGCTGCGTTGGAGTGGGGAATCTACCGTAGATCAATACTGTGATAAGTAATGCGAGGCAGCTGATAGAAACGCTTTCCTGCCTCTCTGGTGAGCGTGCTTCTCAGGGCCCCTCTCTCTGGGACAGACCGTGGGGGCAATAGAGCCCCTTTTACTCCCCGGGGTCGCTCGGATCCAAAGGATACAGGCGCAAGGGACTCTCACCCAGAGGGAAGATGTGGCTTGCTCAAGATCCAGCCTCAGAGCATCAAACTAGCAAAGATGCGACTTGATATTCTTGCAGCTGCCAAGATCAGAGGAAGGCTTTGCCTGCAGCCTCTGGAAGGCACAAGCCTGCACCACATCTGTCTGCCGCAGCGCTGCATCTTCCAGAAACGCTCAGAGAAACAAGCGCTTTTATTTAAACTAGCTTGTTTCCCATCTAAACAGCTGTTTTGATTACTAATAACTCTCAGTCTAGCTGTACAAAAGCAAGGTTTTGTTTCTACTGGTGTTTATTTCTGATAAAATCTACTGTGAAAATACACGTGGGACACTTGCTGAGGTCACGTTGCTTATCCCACTCGCGCTGAACGCCACAGTGCGTCTGTGCTACGTGACGTGCGGAAAGGACGGGGGTTTATTCTTCATGGTAGCTGTGATGAGCCCAGGTTTCTTGCGCATTTGCTCGAGGGACAACATAGTTCTAGTGTACGTGTGCTGACAACAGAAAACAAAAGCGTAATTATTAAACGCGACCTCTGCTTTCAGAGCAGAATGCTCACCAGAAGAGGCATTTTGCCTGCCAAAATAAATCACTTCCCCAGCTTTCCCAAGTGGTGGTGGGAAGAGCTGCCCAAACGAGCACCGCGGGGGTACAGCCCCGTCACAGCAGCATCGCTTTACCGCTAGCAGCTCCCCGCAGGCTCAGAGGAAGGCACGAGCCACCCTCGAAGCTCAGCCTGGGAAATTCTCCTGGCCCCAAGCGCTGAAGGGCTGGCTTTGAGATGTTTTCTTTAAATTGCCTAATGATATAACTGTGCAGTCCTGTTACTCACATTAACACCCAATCTTTCTGAAGCCCTGCAAAGCTCAGGGCCTCACTGATGTTTTTTGAAGAATCCTTGCCAGGAAGGAAGTAGAAGCGAGGAGTGCCGAGAGGAGTTTTTAGCATAAGGCTGGCACAGGATGGGGCCTTTACATCAGCCAGAGCTTCAGCTGGTGTTAACCAAGGTGCTTTCAGCAAAGCCAGCGAGGTAGATCCCACACACAGCAGCTCACAATCTGGCTCTTTTAATCTGGAAATTCCACTTTTGCTCAGAGGTCAGGCGGCACAGCTTAGCACCGCCTGGAGCCAGGAGATTTTATGAAAGGACAAATTTGTAACTTGGACCTGCGATAGCCGAGCCTGGACTCTGTGACCCTGCCTGGCCCTCCCAGTCCTACGTGCCTAATTTTAAACACAGAGGCGAACAGCATTTCAAAGAGCTTAGTTGTGCTGCAGAACTAAACTAGCATCTCTCAAAAGGCTACGGCCGAAACCGCGCCTACACCCCACAGAGGAGCAAGGCGCAGAATTGCCCTTCCAGCGTGCACCTGCAGGGATACGCGGTAGAACTGGGCCCAGCTGAGATTACCTTTTGATCAGCCTTCATTTTCGCGTTGTAGAACGAGACTGAATCTGGACAGGCTGGCAGCGTTGCTTCCTGCATCCGCTCAAACCTGTCCTGCACATCTTCCTCCTGCCAGGAGGAAGGCAGAACGCACTCCATATGAGCAGCGAAAGGACTCGTCGACACGTCACAGGCGACCGATCCCGTTTGCCACATTGATCACTGAGGATCCGCTGCAGGATATCCTCGTAGCACGAAGGAAGTCTAAGCTACCTGTTCTCCCACGAGCCCCGCCGGGTACCCTCCGTGCCCACCCTTCTCCAGGGAACAGCTGGAAGGTGCGAGCACACTTGAGAAGGAGTCTGGTTTGAGTGGGAGTACAATTTTTTTTAAGACACCAGTCTGGGTATAACATTTTCCTGCCAGATTTCAAGGTTCTTCTAGCAGATTCGTAGAAGGTCACCTTCTGCAACTCTTCATGGGTAGCCTGCAGAAGGTGGCTTCAATTTTTTGCATGGTAAAAGGCTGATAGCCAGAGCCCATACAAGCCAATAGTAAAAGACTGATGCTGGAGAAATGGGATAGAATAGTAAATGAAGAGTCAGTCTGCAAAAGGGCAAAAGGGTTCAAAGTAGGAAAAAAAAAAAAAGCCAGTGAAAGATCAGGTGGTGCCTGCCAGAGACAGCGTGGGGGCTCAGCAAGGCCAGCGATCCTGGCTGGGAAGCTGCAGGCCATCGCCCAGTGAAAAAGGAGAAGCGGCCAGCACTGAGCAGCGTCACAAAGGACAGTGTTTATCCTCTTCCTCAGTATTTCTCCCTGTAACATCAACAACGTGACACAGCTGCGAAGCGTTGCTAACAGGCATGTTTCATTCATCTTTTGCGCTATAACTGATGCAATGACAAGAAAGCCAGGGCTGGAAACCATTAAGAGAGTTTCTATGAATGCATTGAGTAACTTGGTTTAGTAAAAGTGACTAGTGATGGATTTCCTTCTGTCCCCAAAGAGTGACATCCTGGACCAACGCGCTCAAACAGATTGTCTGTTGACTTCATTAGGCCCACCACATTACCCAAAGGGCTTTTTTTTTTTTTTTCCCCCCCCTCTTTCCTGTAAGGAGTCTGTTTCTGAAATCTTTCGCAGTCTGATATATCAAAACATACTGTTTAAAAGCAAACTTACTGCATTTTTTCCTCACCTAATATCTGTTATTTATACTCTCAAGGGAGCTAATTCAGTAGTAGGAGGGAAAAACTTGTCTATGATCAGCTTTAAAACTCTTCACATACCTTTCTAGAAAGGAATAAAGAAAATGCTGAAACCCTAGATTTACAGTCAAAATCGTCAAACATCTGGAGACAAACGAATTCCTTTTCAGCTTTCCTTCTGAAGAGCTAAAGCCATCCTATCCCTCACTACAAGTTGGCTAGACATGGGACCATATATTTAGGGATGGAGTCACCCTGCTCAAGCCCTGCTTAAATAGAAATGTATACTCTTTCTTAAGCATCTGTTGCTGGCCCCTGGTGGGGATAGGCTCCTGGGCGAGATGAACCTATGATCTGTCCCTACAAGCTGTTCTCAGGGATCTGCAGGCATTAAGCAGCAATAAGGCAAATGCGTTATGAGTACAAACAAAGGACTAATTCCCCCTTGCAGCCAGGGTGGGATCTCCCTCCTTGCCCTGCATCGCTTCATCATGTCATAGGGAGTGTGAAACACTGGCACCACGTCCCTGTCAAACAGCATTAAGGTTTTGAGTCTGACGTTTAATAATAAACCTGCAGTGACTTCAGAGGAGAATAATGCAAAGAACAAGTCTGGTAAGTAAGAAGCTTAGGAGAAATGTCCTTTGTCAGGCATGACAAAAGATCCCGGATACCTCAAAGTGATAGTTTCTAAACAGAGGGCTGGCTAAGCACCAGTTGCCACAACACGAAACACAATAGTTTAATTGTAAACATTACAGATCATACAGACTGGAAACAAGTCTCCCAGCTACCCCTTGCACATCATGGCAGTTTGCCTGATTGCTGACAGTCAGCAGATGACCCGAGTACTTCAACCATTCTGTGCTATTTTAGCCTCTTAATGGTAAAGCTACTCCGAAAGCAAGATGCATCTTCAGATAGTTGCTCTCTGCATCATATCAGATGGCATTTCAATGCCAGCCGCTCTGTTTAGAGAAAGGGGCAGAGTTACCATGCCCTCCTCCTCCCACAGGCTTAGTTGTGCCCTCATTACCATGCAACATGTGGCTACCAAGGAGAACAAGCAGAGCTGCCAGGACAACTCACCAGGCACATGACTCTGTTTATGGGAATCATTCCAGGTCTGATGTTGCCACCGGGCTTCAGAGTATCCTGCACATCCTTGGGGATAAGGAAGGACTCGTTGTACCAGATCTCAAACTCTGCAAGCAAAGCGGAGGACAATAAACAAGGCTGTAATGATCCCAGAGACAAGGGTGGCTTTCTGCTGGCTCCCCGCCCGGGGATCAGACAGGACCGCAGCGCTCCCCCAGCCCTTTGTTTCAAGCTATTAGAGCAGTTGGTGAAGAAGCAGAGGGCACCGTCAGCTGCCGTGGGCTGCGCTGAGTCAGGCTGCAGCCTGGCCTTGCTGCCTGCGAGGTGGCGAGGGAGCAGGCCTGGCCTTGGGGACAGTCCCCGGGGCTCAGGCAGCCGGAGAGACGGCTGGCCACGAGATGGCACTGCTCCTGCGTCCCCGACAGGCAGAGGCCTCCTCCGCCACCATTCGGGAACTGGGAGGCAGCAACTTTGAGTGGTCAGCATACCGGGGGGTCAGATTTCAACTCCAAATGCTATGGGAGCCCAGCCGCTTACCATCCCATAATAGCCAGTGATAACACACAACAGCTGCTGCGATGCTGCGGGAACGTATATTCCTATTAACGCTGCACATTTCCCAGGGCCCCATGACAAAGTTGCTGCGCTCCGCTCCATACCCCTGGCACATTTCCTCACTGAGCTGAAGCCTGAGACTAAAACCCTCAAAGAAGCCGGTATTCCCCAGGAATGACCCCGAGAATGTATCCGCTTTATGTCATGGGAAGACTACAGAAAGTTAAATGCAGAGTACTTTTACTAGGCACTGCTGACACGATGCAACATCACTGACTTTATTCCCTGGCTTCAACTCTGAGATGACCTGTCCGCTCTGGGATGACACAGAAATTTATTTGAGTGAGTTCATGCCTATATGTTTAAGCGACAGCAAAAATCTAGAGCACTCAAAAATGCCAAACCCGGATCCAGCTGAAATCAGTGGCAAAGTTTCAGCCCAATTAGGATTTGGCCTGGTGTACCTCCTGGAACAAATCGTGTGTTTCTTCTAGTATGGGACTGTCCTGATGGATGCAAGTTGTGCTTTGGCAAGTTTGTAGAAAATAAAGTGTTGCCATGCACACAGCATCCAAATGTTTGGGACTCTGGGATTTATGCGCCTACTGTCTTCCATCCTACAGGACAAATCCAGGGATATGCCAGGACCACATTCCTGTTTCCACAGACTCAAACTGCGCGGCCTGCGATGGAGTGCACCATGTATCCCTCTGAGCAGAGGTGTGACCCATCACCGCGAGGGCGGTGCTCCAGAAGCACACGCTAAAATGACCAAACCCTCTTTCCTGCCAGGGCGTCCTCGCTGAAACGCTGGAACGTGAGGAAAGCTCATCTCACAGGGGCTTTGATACAGAGGAGATACCTGCAGCCCAGAGCTGAATCCCTGGTCCTGTGCAGTTCCTTCGTCACCACCTTTATTAAATAAAATCAAGGGTGAGAACCAGGGCCACTTTTAGTCAAACTTAGGCTCTTACTCCACAGTGTTGCTAGGTGCATCTAGTGGCCTGATCGAGGAGCAGTGTGTCATTACCGGTGAGAGAGAATCTACAGCAATTCAGTGTCATGTCAAAAAAAAAAAAATCAGGCATCAATAAAAAACAGGTCTGGGAGGCAACAAGAAAAAATCATAACAGAGAATGACAGGGGTTTATAATAGAGGTTTTATGCAACATGTCTGCGAAGCGCATAAGTACTGAGTTGCTGTCAGGCACCCTAGCTAAATTGGATGCTGTTCAGAAATCGCTCTGGTGAGTCAGTACCTGAGACGAGTTTGTTCCGGCACTGGTCCACCAGATGCTGGCAGTACTGGATTTCTGCCTTCAGGTCCTGAAGTTCAGCGTAATCAGACCTGTACTCTTTCTTCAAGTCCTTAAGCTTCATAATGAGTAAAAACTCCTCCTCATCAATTATGATCTGTCCTTTCTCATCAACATACTCTCCTGGAGGGTAAGAGAAGGAAACGAAGGTTTCTCATAAGGGTGGAAAGGGCCAAAGAAAGTCATTATACTTCGAACCACACAGTAGTTACCCAGTTATACTGAGGTTAACCACACAATTGACATTTCCTTTGACATGCTTTCTGAAAATACAGTGTTGCAGTGGTGTAGGGCAGAAATCACTGCTGAACTCCTGAACCCACTCAGATATCAGTCCTCCCTGACCTGGCGCTCGTGCAGATGGAAGAGATGGGCTGGACTCCCCAGAAAGACACCCACACAACACCCTGCTGGAGGGTATCACTTAGGGCTTTCGTGGCTCCTACTGCAAAGCTCTCAAAGTCCCTGGGCTAGGACTGGGCCGTCAAGGTAAGGGTCTTTGAGTCAGGCTGGTCAGCCCTCTGGAGACCATTAGGCCAATGCTGCTTCCCTATAATAAACATCCCTTGTTCTTGGTTTCCCTCAAATCAGCTTACTCCTGTGGTTTCCAGCATCCACCACAATAAACCACCAGTTGGTAGATGTCATCATAAAGAGCAAAGGCCCAAAACAAGCAATGATCCTATGAGAAGACAAACACCCTCCCTTTGATATGGATTCAAGCTGACATTGTTCATTATTTAGCCAAAAGAGCCTTGCACCTTGCAGGACTCGACCCTCTGGGAAGAAGCCACCTATAAAGAGGGGGTCATAAAAGTCTCTCCATAGGAAGAGAAATAAAAAACAGTAGAGCAGCATTCTTGCTCGGTCTGATTCTCAGCCCCAGGTACTGAGACCCATAGTTACGCCACCACTGTGGCTCCAGTGGGGTGGCTGAGGAGGCAGAAAGCACCTCAGAAAGCAAGAGCATCTGCGTGGTCTCAGTCACTAAGATCTCCCCTCTACATTCACTGCTCAGGGCCTGCTTGCTTTCCAATATTCACTTTCTCTCTCGTTCCCTCTTACTCCTTGCTCATTGCCTGGAAATAGTTTAGGTTATAGTTGCACAGAATTGAGTGATTTTGCCGCCCTTCCTGTATCCAAGGAGCACCACCACTGGTATTTCCTACTGTCACATGCAGAATGCTGCAGAGCGCTCTTGTATTAAAGTCATTTGTTGCAGATTTTTCCCAATGCCTGTATTTCTTCTCCATTCCTGTGCAGAAAGCAGTCACACTGACCGTTGGGAGTCCTGCTGCAAAGAGGCGAGGCAGGAGGTGCGATATGTTTCCACTGCAGTAAGGGCAAGCCTGCTGCCAATGGTTTCTGAACTGTACTGACCTGCATTTGTCAGCAGTACACTGCCTGATCCATCAAAGTATGGGGTGAGGCATCAGTCTGACTGCAGCTCACTTCGCTAGCGTAAAGCCTGAGTAGCTTGAGTCTGCGAGACTGAAGTGTGGAAGACTCAGATGGAGGAATCAGGTGGCATACCGCAAGGGCAGGCTCAGAGCTGGGGCATAAGACACTGGCTGCCCCAGCACCCTGGCAAGCAGCAGTGGTGGCATGTAGTGGCCTCACCACCAGAACTGCCCAGGAACCAAAGAGAGCGGCGGCTCCCCTCTTCTATCAGACTCTTGCTGGCCAGTCTCCACACTGTGACTTACCCTGCTGCCACCGCTCCTGCCTCTGAGCCCCCAGAGCCTCTTTGATGCCCTCCATCTCACGCTTGATCAAGTTGATCCTCTGCGCTACTGCACTGCTTCTCTTCTTTCTGGCGAGGAGGATGCTTTTGTTCTCTTTAAAGATCCGGTTGATCTCACTACCACACTCCTTCTTAAATTGCTCAAATGCCACCGGTTTGGATGGAGGGGAGCTGCAACCGAGTTCAAAGAAGACATAGAGGAGGTCAGTTTGTTCTAGCATGCAGCATGACACAGTTCATGGGAGCAGTCACAGCTGAGGTTGGTGGGTGGTATTTCAATGGGCCCTTTGAGGATCTTGCTGTGCTAGCTGCATCCTGGTACTGTCTCTATGACAACTTTCATACCCCTTTCCCCTCCTGCCCGTACTATTCTCAGAGTTATTTATACAGAAATCAAGTTCCCTAAGAGATGCCTCAGAAGTGAGTCTTTCCTGGAAATTGGAGCTTTAAAGGTCTGAATCTTCAGAAAGATAATTAACGCTGTGCCTCCCTGTTGCTAAATAGAAACGCCTTGGCCTTTTCCTCACTGCGTTCCCAGCACAGACCAGTGACCTCTGCCAACCAAACCCCACAGCTGTGTGCATTGGCTGGCTTTACAATGCTGTTGCCCATGGCCTTTAAGACTTGCCTCTCTAGGAAGACTGAATTCAAAGTGGCATGTGTCAGCCTTGATTTTCCTATGAAATGGCTTTGATGCAAACATGCCCCTCACTTCACCGCAAACCATGCTGAGCAAAAGGAGATGGTCTCTCGGAAGACCCTCAGCCCTGTGAGAGGAATGCCACACTTTGACGGACTGCTCCGTGCTGTGTAACGTTGCTGCTGGCGTGCAGTGGATCTGGTAGCAGAAGGTGGCTAGAAGTCTCCGTGTTCCTCAAAGCAAAACTCTACCTCCCACGTTCCCTTGATTGACCTCTTAGGGGCTTTTTCAAATTCCCCAAAGGCTGCATGAGACTGCTCTCCAGGCCACACTGCTGGCAAAGCAGGGTACACAATGGCCACTGGGCAGACCGCCACAGCTACCGCTTCGACAGCCAACTACTGGGCTGCTAAGCAGTCTGGGTCATGCCTTACGCAGCTCTAGCAGCAACCTTCCCTGCCAGCTATTGGACTTTTAGAAGAACACTAAAATGTTTTTGGAGGGCATGGAAGAACACAGTAACTTGTTAGGGTGCTTCACAAGACACTTCTCCTGGGACAGCTTCACCCCGCAATGCTCTCTCAGGGCTGCAGGGGCAAGCAAGGACACGTCACCTATAACACCAGCAACGGAGGTGTTGATATTTTTTCTGAGCTGTCTCTTGAAAGAGCTCAGCAACAGAAGATGGTTGCTGATGTGTGATGGAGAAGGGCGGGGGGGGGGGGGGCGCGTGTTTTTTTTTCCTTGCTGAGCTCCTGTGACTTGAACAGCTTCATGCTGTTGAGCACATCCTCCTGGAAGGAGCCCTCGGTCTTTCTATCTTTAGCATTTTCTACCCCACCAACTCTGTCCAGAATGAAATGCAATTCAGTGCTGCCCTCCTGTGCTAAATTCTCTTTGTAGTACAAGCAGGCGACTGGCACCTTGTTGGATTTTTGGCCACGCTCCACTGTTCTGTCTTGATATGGCAATTCCTGCCATGATCTTGTGCACCTATTGACCCCTCTTCATGACAGTCTTGGTTTGATGGCTGAACATGAGGTCTCACTACACTTTTACTTCTGCACAAAGGGTGACGATTGCTATGATTTCCATACGGGACCAGCTGGAACTGTAATGAATTGGCATAGCTCAGTGGCAGAAGGAAAACCCTGCAGGCACGCTAGGAAGACGTTTGCTCTGACATATACAGAGAGAGAGAGAGAGAAATCACATGCCAGCGTTTAAATAGGTTAGTGACTCCAGATCAACAGAGGCTTCACACTTAAACGGAGCAACTAGTCAGGACAGAGCTCAAAGCAGACGAAGATGATGACTGCCACCAACGTGCTTAGGTACTTAGGGTGTCCATATGAATACTGCTATCCTACAACATATTTCTGCATGCAAGCAATGAAGATCTCTAAATCACGCAGATGCGAATCAACTTCTGGCAAATGGGAAGCACTCCCTTACAGCAAAAGCTTACCTGGGCTGTGGGGAATCCCTCATAGGGGCTGGCTTTGAGTGCTGTGTATCAATATTTGCTGCATCCTGGTTCCTTGCTCCCTCTTTCACATCCACATCCTTGGTGGAAGTTATTACCTGATTTTTTGATTGAAGAAGTGCATCCAGATCTTTCCCAGAAAGAGAGGTCCCGATTCCTTCCTTCCTGACATGGGGAATAAGAACTACCTGATTAATTTATTCATATAATATGAAACTGGAACAAAACATGCCACAGGTGCTAGCTTTGCTGATTAAAGAAGTAACAGTCTGCCAAAGTTTAGGGTGAAATGTCTATTGACAAGGAACGAGATCAGACTCTGGGCCTTATTCTCACAAATCCTTGCTTCCTAAACTAGAAGTCTGTCTTAACTAGCAAATATTATAGAACACAACACAGGCGGGACCAGCTTTCTTGTGAAGACTCACAGGGACAACAGTCACACCCTGTCTGCTCTGGGGCACACTAGCTGCAGTGCCAGTACACAAGTGGCTGTTTGGGGCACATGTCAGCAGACAACAGATCCCTATTTACCTTCAGAGCGGACTACAAATAAAATCTCTTAGGATTTGATCTAACCCCACGTCTTTCTGACTTAATTTTTCAAGTGAGATTCTCTATTCTTCCCCCTCAGCTCTCCCCCATGAACAACACCAGCCTAGCCGGCAAGGGATAGTCAGCGTGATTCCAAAGCGATACAGAAAAGTGCGTACCCCATCTAGTTCCATCCCTCCAAACCAAGAACTGCACAGAGGAGGCGCCCATGGACGCTAGAGCCTTGGTGGTTCTTCTCCTCTCTAACCCACGGACTTGGGGGAAGGCCAGGGAGGAACCAAGCAGATGCACTAGGCCACAGAAGCAGCTGTAGAAGATACCAGAACAGGCACCTCATTTCTACAGTTTGAAGGACCTTTTTCCGCCCTGCACAGATTGCTTGTTCACCCTTCCCCCTCACAATCTCTTCTCAGCTTCACACTATACCTGCTCCCTCTGCTCACTGTCCCTTCCTCCCTTTCTGCTTAGCAGATCTCCTACTTAATACGTGTAAAGAAAAACTATAGGTTTACCATGTCATCTGATGCCATCACAGGACTGTTTCCCTGGCTGTGTGTTCACTTCCCCTCCCCTCACTACAGGTCAACTCTGTCTGTGCTGGCTGCAAGCTGTTCAGCTCAAAGCATGTCTGCCCTCTGGGTCCACAGCACACCTCCTGCGCAGTGCTCTGCGGTCTTGATTCATCCGTAACGGGCACACAGACTAACCGTTTGCACGAAATCTCAAGAGTACTACCCTACCACAGGCTGTGTCTGCTGGCCACACGCAGCGCCCTGACCTACTCTCGATGGCGTGGCTTAGTGGCCAGGAGGATACCACAGACGCCTGCAAAACTATGCTGGCGCGACATCCTCGTGGAAACACAAAAACGCGATACACCTATTAGGCCAGCTTCATTTCTGCCATCCTCCAGGGGCTGCCCTTCACACCTTGGCTGGAACCAGTCTGTGTGACGACACACTAAAAGAAAAAAGGAAGCTCTCCGACCACTTAACTCACCTGCTCTGCTCTTTGGTTTTCCTGGGTTTCGTCTTCTTCCCAGCATGTTTGGATGAAAAAGGAGCAGCTCCAGTCCCAAAATCGTGCCCATCTATTTCCCCCACCACATTGCCATCCACATCAACTAGGCCTGCCTGGAAACAAGAAGAAATAACGCATGAACTGAGAAGTATTAGCAGCTATTCCACCCTGTTGTACAATCTAATCTGGAAATCTGTATTCACCACCAAGCATTGCAGGGAAACACATCTATTAAAAATGAAGTGAACATTAAAACTAGGGCCAAAGTTACCCCGGAATTCATATGCTGAAAGTTTCAGCCACTAAGGGTGAGAATAACTTGGGTCTAGTGTCACAAAAATAAGTTGAAGCCGTTATTGCAAATTCCTCTCCAAAATTCTGCTAATTCTGACAGTGCTCTCGGTGTTTTATTGGTAACGTCCCAGAGCATAACGCTAACAGCAAACTCCTACTCCATTGTGGCATCAGTAATGATGGCAATGGAAAAGCATCCTCAGAAGTCTTCATTTAGTGAAGGAGGATATGCAAGAGAATTATATTTCTCAATACTATTTCTATTATTGCCTCAAGCATGTCACAGAAGGGGCCATTCAGCACCAATATCTGCTTAATTCAGGGTTTGGTTTTGTTTTCCAGTTCAGCTTTAAATAAAGATTTGAACAGGCCTGTTAGGGACCATGGGTTTTTCTGTTATACAAATACTTTGTTTTTCCCTGTGTCTTTCTTCCAAAAATTTCAAAGCATCTTCAGTTAAGCCGTAGGCCAAGTATATCACTCTGCATAGCAGATAATTATTTTACCCACCTTACAGGGTAAAACCAAGGCATGGAAATGACCAATTCAGAGATTAAATACTTCACAAATTGAAATGGGTAATGAAAAATACATTATAAACTATAGGCATGAATCCATATGTGACTTTATGGTTTACATACGACATGTTTACTTTGCTCCAGAATCTATAAGGAGGACCTCAACAGCAGCAGGTCAGACCCGGCTGACCCGGCCTTCTACAATTGACTGATTGACAGAGAGGTCACCTTCTTATATTAGTTTATATTTTCCTTATTCCCATTTAATAAACTATTCTGTTTCGGTAGTGGGCCAAGTTCTCTGCTGACGTGAATGGATGTCGCTTTGTTAACTGGTTTCAAACTTCAGTGGGGCACCTCAAGCAGCCAGTTCTGAGATGGATTCCGGGCAGGGCTCAAACCCCAGGCATTACCTTTTGAGCAACAGCAACAGCAGCAAAGTCATTTTTGTCTATCAGAGCATACTTGCTTCGTAATCTGGCCTCAACTTCTTGCTCCTGTTGACTAGGGGAGAAAAAGGCCCTCAGCATTGTGTTCAAGAAGGACTACTCCATACGGCAAAACCCGTAAACTTACCAGATTTACAGAGAAAGCCATCTTTTACAAGTGATGTCATTTCCATACACCCCACCTAGCTCCCCGTTATTTTTCACAACATCCGTTTTAACCTTTCTCCATTTTTCTTCTTCCTTTCTTTTTCCACGATGTCCCTTTCAGCGTCTTAGATATGGAAGCTTTTCAATGGCTATTTAAATACTTAACATAACCTTTTAATGGTCCAAATAAAATAATATCACCTCTGTTCAGTTCTGTCACAGAAAGATCAACTTTAACCTATTGGTTTTCAAACGGAGTAATTTTTTCACTGAAAGGGAACAAACGAAGCCTTATCAGTCGGCTTACATACACTACAGGAGACTGAAAATTATTAGGGAATCTGCAAATTAAAAAAGATCAAAACTCATTATTTCAGTACAATAAGAGGAGTCCTAAGTAAAAAAAAAATCATAATAAAATAATAATCAGGCAAAATGTGTAGACTGTTACCAAGAAACCTGATTTGGCTTTGGGTTCCTGTACAGCATGACTGTCCATGGCACAAGTGCCACAGACACTTGTGTTCAGACAAGTTTCTCAAGGGCAGGCAGATTTTCTGCAGTGATATCTCAGTGTCACTCTTGGAGTAGCACCCTCTACTGCCTAGCCAGGCCGTTGCCACAAAGGACATTTTCCAAGTGAAAAGGTGTCCGGGGGGCGGGGGGTGGCCTGCTGTAATACCCTTCTTCTTCGCTCTCCTCCGTTTCATGTCCTCATTTTTAGGATTTTCCCTAGCCTGCTCTTTACCTTCCCTCATTCAGCTCAAAAAGCAACTTTCATCATCAACTGGCGACGTTTTCCAAAAAGCCCTTTCACACTTTCTCCCATCCCGCACCACAAACCAGGGAGAGCTTCCCTGGAAAGAGCCACAAAGCCTTCTTTTCATGCTCCTCCATATTTCTTTATGACCTTCCTTTGCCATGAGCTCTACAAAAAAACATCTGAAAACATTTAGATGCTAGTGTGCTGAGACCATTGCATATAACCTCATTCTGCAGAGTTTCATTTTTCTTTTGATCTCTTTGTAGAATGCCTTGCACAATGGAGATATGCTCCATAACTAGGGATGCAAAGCACAGTATACATTCAGTGATGGTATATCTACTGAGCAGACTTATTAACCAGTGAGGCTCCTCACAAACGGATCTTGCATATGATTTATGAGCATTGGAAGGCTAAAGGCAATAGTCTCCTTGTGAAAAAGCAGCAGAAATTGTACTGATTTTTCAGTTACAAGTTATTCCCTGTACTTCATAATGATGCTTCATCAATGTCACAGCGAGTGTAATAACACAGAAAAAAGCTTGGTGGAATTTCTAAACCTTATGGTGAAGTGCATCAAGCCTGGATATCTTACCTTACAAGCAGTTTGAACTGTCTGAAAACCTCCTGGACTTGCCTGACGTTCACTATCTGGGGAAGAGATGCATATAGTGAAGGCACAGGCAGGCATTTCTATGCTGCGGTCAGATACGCTGATTCAAACGTTGCAGACTGTCAGGGCTCTGCTTTCCAACAATCAGATCTCGACATTCGAGGAGAGGTACCTGTATCCTGCACCTGGAGAGTCAGGCTGGAGGTGGATACACTCCTCACTTTGAGGTGACTTTTAAAGAGAGAGGAATCTGACAGACTAGGGTGAATTCCATGGAGCGCACAGCCATCAAGATAATGAATTGTTTACAATAATGCAATACAAAATCTTTTACAAACAACATAGATGGCATCTTCTGACCTTGCAGCGACGCTACTGCCAGAGCATTATCTTTAGTCTACTTGCCTATGTAATCAAATCAGTGAAGTACAGCCATGCTGCTATCTGTGGTTTGGAGATGATGAACAGAGGCATGGACAGACAAGTAATGGGGGTCTGGAGCGGAGGAGGAATCTGCACTCAGGTCTCCCAAGGTCTAAGATACTAGACCAAGCTGTGCAAGACACTATCTCTGCTCTCAACCTTCTCTCTAAAAGGCCCTTCAGTCCCACTATAGACATCATTCCCTGTGTGAAACTCCCCCATCCTTCTCTGCTTTCCCTGCTCCACACTGGCCCACATCCCATTTTGCAGCCCACATAAAACAAACCTCATAAACCCTTATTCTGCCCCACACCTGCCTGCTGGAGGGAGCACACAGGGACTTCAAGAGAAGTGTAATGATAACATGAAATGAGAGGGTGTGTCTCAAGCAGTGGGTGTTTTTTTTTTTTTTTTTTTTTTTTTAACTGAAGAGTTACATAACTGTGCTCATTTATGACTTTCATTTTCTTCCATTTTGTTTGCTTCCTTGCTTGCCCACACAGGAACATTTGTATATGAGAGACTTTTGCCGTTTCTTTTTACAATCATTTGGCAATCAACAGGTAGTTTCCAGCTGAGAAACCCTGCCCTAGTGAACCTGGGGTCACAAGACTGGACATATTTTGACGGATGCTTTGGGAACACATCTCGCAAAGATCTAGTTTCATGTTGGCAAGGCAAAATACTTCTGTAAAGAGGCTCCAAATAAAGCAATTCAGGGTGGTTCAAGCCAGAGGAAAAGTCCCCTTAAGCTTCCAAAAGGCAAAAACAGGAGAAAAATCAGGAGAGAGTGTCTCCTTAACAAGTCAAAAAAAATTGCAATTCTGTAGCACCTTTCAGGTTAAAGCAGCTTCTTCAGAAGACATTTTCATTCCTTCTGACATGGAACAAAACTGGATGAAATCAGTGTATAAGTCCTTCTATACTAAAAAGCTACTTACATCGACTTCATCAATGGATCCTTCTAGGTATTTTTGGACTTGAGACTTAATATCTGCTATCTGGATTTCAGTCAGAGGGTCATAACTCACCGAAGAACGATTTACCTAGGAAAAAAAGGTGAAAATTGAGTATGAGTAAATTACAAAGCAACTACTAGTCTGCTGAATGCCTGATATTTCTCTGTCGTTGCCCTGGAAGCATAATTTCTGATTGCGGCTTCTCATCGTCTGAGTTGACAGGGCACAGGCCTTGGACCATGCTGAAAGCGGGACATTCCTTTCCACTCTTCGGTCAAATAAGGGAAGGGCTTCACGCGTCTGAAAGGCACCTTCTCAGTAGATGGGGACTGAAGCTACAATAGTCTCAAGAGCAAGAGATTTTCAGAGCTTTGACTAATCTTAAAAAAACTGTGCTGAAAGCAGAGGGGAAGAGCACAAGCATGTCGGGCACCAATTTGACCATTCCTACTGCTAAACAAAGATCACGACAAAGCCTTAACAAGATCCATTTGGAGATGGCTTAGCCTATTCCTTACCAAGCTGTCATGCATGGCCAGTTCCTGCTTCAGAAAAATAATCTCCTTCTCCAAAGCCTTCACCATCCACTAGCAGGAAAACAAAAAGGTGAGCAAATGACCAAATGCAATCAGCAAAAGAACTGGTGAAAGGAAGCATTAACCTGGCAGCTAGATAACGTCAAGGCTGTGTACCAAGGCTGTGCCCTAGGATTTGCTGTCAGGTTTGCAGCAGTGCAGTGGTGAGTCTGGAAACCATTTTGCCTTTGATTAGCTTCCAACAGGACAGCTTCTATTCTGTCCTGGATCCACTGCCTTCAGAGTCAGCCCAAACCATCAAAAGAAGGGTCATCTGTTTCTTGAGTTGATGCTTTCCTGATCTGGTACCCTAGGGGCCATCAGATTCTGGACTATGAGGTATTATCTTGAAAGCAAAGAAGTAGGCAGGGTTGCACTCTCACCCGTACAGAACTCAGTAGGAGTTCTGGCATTCCTTTTAATAAAGGCCAGAATCTCTTGTGGCGTATTTGTGATTGAATTTATCCATAATCTGGGATATTTTCAAGCATTCACTATTTAGAACAAGCCTCCAAAAAGGTGTAGGTACCCAAATTTCCTTGGGATCCAGTGAAAATTGGATGCTGAGCTGCTTTTTAAGTGACCTGTTGAGTATCAAAGCACAGTAACTTCCTTAAATACATTTTGGCTGCTCTTTTCCACCCCACACATCTCAACACAAATGACAGGGCACTGAAGAGGAAAAGAGAGTTTGCTGCACAGCTCCCAGCCTCTTCTGGAAACTGTTGGAGGAAACTCCCCAGCTGTTTCTCTGCTCACCAGTGAAATCAGAGCATGAAATACTGCAGGGCTCTCTCACACCACACGTGCTACGGGTCAGATAATCCTAAACTCGCTCTCTGGGTTATCAGCAGCTCATAGAGTATTTGCTGCTGTCCGCCCCGTTTCAGTTGTGAAAGTGCACACAAGACATCTAAAATACCACAGTCACTTTCTTTAAATTATTTCCTTGTTTAAACGAGCATTGTAATTGTGGCAAAAACGTTAGGTTACCAGCAGCAACAGGGATAAGGCTGTGTAAAGCTGCAGATAGGACTGGAGATGATTTGCCCACAAGTCAGGGGAGTGGTCCACAATAAAATCTCTCTGTTAAGAGGTTTCCTATAAGAAGACGTACAGACTCCCAGGCATGCGGTCAAAAGAAATACTACATGCCAGGAAAAATGTGACCGCCTGTATGACTGCACCCTGTAGCATACTCAAGGAAATACCAAATAAATCCCAGTGGAAAAGTTGAACACTAGCCCATTTTATTATACACTTGCATTCAGGAAGTGAATGAGTGGTAATTCATTAAATTGCAGTATCTCCCTCAGGTTTTTGCAGTCATTATCCTTAATATTAACGAACTTGAGAAAACACACCTTCTTCCGTTCCCCTCCGCTACATACCTCTGGGTCACACATCTCATTGATGACTGGCTCTGTTGTCATCCATTTCATTCTGGTAGCAAAACGAAGAGAAGACAACTGAAAAACATTTTTTTTTTAAGTAACTGAAAGAGATACTGGCAAGGACATAACTTTCATAATCTGTCCCTATGTAATCGTATCATATGCGACTAGGTAGAACTACAAAAGCTATTTAACCACAGCGAGCACTGTAGGATTTTTCATTTCAGGAGCATGTCTTCTACTGCTTACTTGTTTCCACGTGATGAGTCAGCTTCAGATGATGTTTTTCTGTTACCCGTGTGGCAGTTCTTTGTGTAACAGGGCTGTGATCTCAAAAATGATCACTCCTGTATCTGACTGAAATAATACTTACACCCTAATAATTCTGAACCACATGAAAACCCGAAACCAATGGCTTTCAGGTTTAATTCCTGCAATAGTGATATCCTGAGAGAGAGGCAGTACAGCCTGAAAATCCTCCTCTTGATGCAAAGTACAGCATCTATTTTGCAGAGGATATCAGAACCCAAGTAGCAGATGATAAGAACAGTACTTTGCCTTGAAGATGACTGCATAACAGGTGACTGCATTTACACTTTTTTGCTATGTGTAACTTCTTTCTTGGTAAACAGCAAAGCAGTTCCCTTCCCTGTGTTACAGAAGTGGTTACAGCGGTTGGGTTCACACTGTAAGGCTTCCACCAATTTTATTATTTCACGGCTTAAAAGAAGTTACCATTAGCAGGTTCTCCTGATGCCAGCATCCCAAACTGCCTGAAAGCCAGTCCAGCTCTGATGTAAACTGTTGCCATTCCACTGACTTAACTATGCGATATACCATTCAAAACACATTTTTAGAGCCGAACCAATAATAACAATTAGCAGTATCCAGTGTGCTTCGATCTTAGCTGTTTGGGCCTGTTCTAATCCAGGCTCTTATTTGTCAGTAGAGCAGGCTCCTACGCCACTGTTTGCACCACAAAATAGACTGGCGAAAGCGGTTTGTATCCTGAGCCTCCGAGATGTTTCTGATGAATTAGACAGCGTGCTTCTCTGAGACTCCTGCCATAGCCCTGCAGAGACTATGCTTTATATCTGGTTATGGCCAACGTAATTGCAACAATACCTGGGACATGACTGAAATTCTATAAAAATCAGTTCAACTTACAGTCTCTTCTACATGCACAGCTTCCCCACAGATATTCGCCACCAGGACAGTGTTGCAGTTTCCCCCTGGGAATGACACCAAAAAAAAGATGCAAAGAATATAATTTGTTTTTTGTTGTTTCCTTTCCTGGAAAATACTATATATGGACTAAAATAGAGAAAAAGATGCAACAAAGGACATAACTAGTTTGTAACTGTCCCTCTAAAGGTCCCGTGGGTCTATAAACACAATGGCATAGAATGACTTAAGAATAAAGGTAAAATGTGTTTCTCATCTGGTAATCATACAGCAAGAAGACAGCAACGCTAATTGTAAAAGCCTGAAATAGGATAAAATCAGAGCAGAGGATTTTAAAAGTCCGTGGCCTAACTCTAATACCAGGGAAGCTGACAGGAGTTTGTCACTGTCTTTCCTAACAGCGGTGCAAGACTTGCACTAGAAATACCTCAAATCTCACTCTCAGTTTTGATGACTTCAGTTACTCCACACAGTTGTCTGCAGCCTGTCTTCAGCTGCTTTCTCCACCCACGTGCTGCCAGTCTGCATTCCAATAGCATACGATTCCAGATGCACCACAGCTTTGGATTTATCATCTGTAGCCTGATGCTAAAGCATGACCACCTGAAAAGGCTTGTAACATGCTGGGGGGTGTTGGTGGTAGTTTTTTTTTTTTTAAGTGTTCCAACTGAGAAAAGTTTGGCGCGTTTCTATTAGCCTGATCAGTGTGGCGTTTGTACTGCCTTGGTGCCTGCTGTTTCATTTGATGAGGAAAAACAGAGATCCTTTGAACGATGATTAGTTCCGTGTGTTTAACTGTAAGGGCATTAGGACTTGATACGCTCATTGAAACCACAGCATTTTCTGCGCGTTCTGGGGCTATTCTAATCCAAAGCCCTTACCAAGTGAGTCCTTGAGAACGTGCGTGAGCTTGCTCTGCCGGAAGGGGATGTGGTCCCTCTTAGGATCACCCAGGGCAATGATGATTTGCTCAAGGAATGACAGAGACTTGTTGATGTATGTGGCTTCTTTCAGAACCTGCCCTTCAGACTGTAATGAAGATCAAAAGGCAAAGCTTCCACAACATGTGTTTCTGGGTGAACCACAAAACAGAGCACATTTCTTACTGAGGGTACAACTCTCCTTGACTGTGACGATAAGGCTCTAACTCAGATTCAGCAAATTCAGAACTCCTTACAGTTTGAAAACAACTTTTCAGAGACGTTCGTTTCTTCATTGAAAGTCTACCAGGACCACTGTCTTTCCTTCAAAAAGGAAAAATTATGTATTTGTCACAGGGCTGATGGGATTTCTATTTTGATCAATACAGAATGTCACATGGGACCTGTGAAGGTTTCGGTTGCTGAGCCCTAGTGTTGTAGGAAAGTTTCAAAAATTTGCACGCTCCCACTAGACGCTAAGGACTCACACTGTCAGTCATGGAATAAAGAGGAAAATCAGAAGTTCTTTGTCTTAATACAGTTGACAGCTCAGACCATTTCCTTTGCTGACAAACGACAGTGTCAGAAGAACACACTGAATCTGGGTTACCTTGGAAGGCACATGAAGGATGGGAGTCACAAACAACTTTGAAAAGATACACAGCACTTGCAAACAACCAAGCACTCTCTGATGTGTTAATGTGACTTATGATTTGTCACAGTCTCCTATTTATTATGAGCTTGAATTCTGTTGTGGGAAAAGCCTGTAATTTCACCTCCACCATGTGGATTACTGGACTCTTCCCCAAGGACTCACATACTTCTTCCATTACTTACCCCAGTCTTACTCAGTCTCTCTGAGCCTGCCAGATCTATTAAATTGATTTTTGAAGTAATGCGTTTGACATCTGAGAAAACTCTGAAATGAGACTGGGGGGCAGGGTGGGGGGAGAGAATATAAACTGTACTTAACGTTGGACAAAACTGAAATAGAGTAAGAAATACAGGCATTTAAAGATCCTCATCCCTTTGAGTCCCCAGAAAAACCGCTGGAGCACTTACCTCAATATAGATAGTAAAAATGCAGTGGGATCTGGATGAATTTTTATTCAGTGTATGTTCTGCTATTACTCTGTTGGTCTCACCCTGCAAATGAAATCAAAACTGAGGATAGTATTTTTACACTTATACACTGGTAGAATAAAGGAGAAATTACAGATCCACGCAGTTAAATAAGCAATAGCTCAATCTCCACTCGCCAGAGAGACTGTAACATAACTTGGTTGGAGCAGACTGCACAGGAGCTTGTCATCTTTGCCTCACTTTCTTAGCCGTAAGAACCTTAAAGCATATTACAGTGCAGCTGGTAAAGGTCACTGTTTACTGTAACAGTGCCTTATAGCAGAGACCACATTATCTGCATTTCCACTTTCAAGGCTCAGCTCACAGTACTGTGGCTTTTTGAGGAACAGTCAGGCAAGTCTTGTTCAGAGGCAATACCTCCGTCTGTTTCAGTTTCTTGATGAGTGGAAAACCAAAGCGCTACCCAAGCCTTAAGTGTCATAGATAACTCACAGACATATGACAGCCATGAACTTGCAATGATGACTTACAGGAAAACAAAACAATCATTGGAAATGGTGTTGCGACTGTTTGCTAGGACTGCCACTCTATCACGGAGCTGTGCAGCCAGGCCTGGCAAGGCAGAAAAGGAAATGGACAGCTCTACCACATAGAAATGCACTTGTTTCATGGCGAAATGAAATGCACCGGGTTTCACGGGCGACTGGTCGGCCTGGGACTCAAAGGCCAATGATGTTTGAGAGCTGGAAGGTCAGCGTCTGGCTCCGCACTAAGGAATTTAGATCCAAGGACAAGAATGAAAGTGAAGATATTAGGCAAATACTACGAACACCACTTCACAGATGAAGAAGTAAGAGTCAGAGAGCAGTGGGCAGACTCCTCAAAGCCTAGGGCTTCCCCTGAGTACCCAGAACTGGAGGTAGAGCTCATCTAAGGGCCTGAATGGATCCCCAGGCATCACTTGCACTTCTTCTGCCAGCAGATCTCAAGCTGTATTGTTATCATCCCTCTACTCTTTAAAGGGAAAACGGGAGCTTCTGCAAATCAGAGAGGCTAACTTAGGACACTATAGTCCCATTAAAAAAAGGCAAGCCAAAGATTTTAAGGGCACCAGATGGCTCCTGGTAATAATATGCTTCCTGCAAACAGAACAAATGATTTATGTACGTCTTTCTAACAAACTAAAGCACCCATAGGTAAAAGAAGGATGCAGAGGTAAGTAAGCAAGCTCCCTACGCAAAGGCAACCAACTATGTGAACATCCCTGCTATAAAACCTACCTAGGAGTACTAAGCATGTGCCATGACTATCCCAAACTATCTGCCAAAGACATCACTAGTAGGAGTCTTTTCTTGAGCGTTAACATACTGAGGACAGGCAGTGTGTTTTTGGGAAAAAGAATCCACTGCAGGCCAGCTGATGGCTCTAAAAGGATAGCAAATATCCTACACGTTGTACTGTGTACAAGTCCCTCACTGACAGCCCTGTGTGATAACCAGGGTAAGGAAAACAAGTCTTTCCGGCTGTCTGGGATCCTGGTCTGCCGAAGGGTGAGGCGGCTGGTATTGCAGACAAACCTTTTAAAATGACAGCGTATCCTGTGGCTACCTTAAATATTTTGGTGCTTTCTGGAATCTCTAATGCTATGTTCTGCGGTCTCAGCCCTAATATATTTCTTCCATCGCTTGCCTTGCTCTGGCATACACTAAAACTAGGGTTTCACCATGGGGATCTTCCAGAATCTCTGTGCCAGGGACATTTTCCTTGCACGAATACAGGCTACAAAGAGTTACCAGTTCCTCTCTCCACTATAACGAGAACCAAGAGAGTCGGCCCTCCCTCCAGCAGTCCTGACCACCCACTTCCAGCTTTACTGCCTCTTCCCTTAGCTAAGCCAGTAAACATAACAATCGGATGAGGTGCAATATTTGTTTCTTCTTGCCTCAAACAGGAGATTTAGAGCATCTTCCTCATGGCTAACTGTATGTATAGATAAGCCCTTCACATAAACACCCTGTGGGCAGTCCACTACAGCCATCTGCATGTCACCGGTCCCACTGCTTGTCATGGTGGACAGAAGGTCAAACAAGGTCTCATTGTAGATTTCCAGGTAGGATACTCGGACAGTGATGACTCGATCAACACAATGTGCAGTTGCCTTGAGGACCTATACAAAGATCAAGGGTTTGTCAGGGACATCTTAGCTCACAAACAGAACTATTAGCTATTTGTGGCTTTTCAAAGAAGCTATTTATGACTTTCTGAACAGCCATAAAGTCATCTGCATGCGTGCAGCTAATTCTCTGTGGCTGCCTGAGGGCTGACTGGGTGCAGTCAACATTTTTACTGTGATTTCTTAAAATGACAGTCTTGAAAACAACACTTTTGAAAGCACTATATCTTTAAAACAACAAGGTTGGGTGGGAATATTAACATAAATGTGGATGACTTTGCCCTCTCTGAACACTTAATAACAGGTTTCTTCATCTACTGGCTAATTTGCTTTACTCTAACAGCACTTGTGCCAAAAATATAACTGGGTAGAGAATTATTCAAGAGGAAAATGTGGATAATTAAAAACAAGCTATTGAGAACAGGCCTTTGAGGCAAGAAGTAGGCACTCTCACATTTGGGAAGCAACTGGTATATTATGAGAGCTAGAGGTAAACAGGAACAACCTCTGCAAACGACAATCAAGCATAGCCACAGAATGCCTCCCACCTTTGCTTCCGTGTGTAGGGGTCTGTATGCCTGTCAGTTGTCCTTGTGGGAGCAGGTAGCCTTCTGACATGCGCAAGTATCACTGTCTAATGAAGCAGTAGACTCTGGGCAGTGACGCGTGTACACAGATCACCATGTTTCAAAGCAACACCACCCCAATGCTCTGAAACGTCACCATCGTCAATGCGCAAAGTCACAGTGTAGTAAAATGAAGGTACCAAGTAACTATGTTTTATAGGCTCCCTTATTTCTTTAAGGATCATCAACGAGATAAAATGAAAGAAAATGGACTGGTGGAGAGCACCTAAAACATATTCCCCCATGTTAATACACTTTAATGATTATCAGCAATAGCAGATGCAAGAGACGTGTTTGATATTTCGTCTAGCTTCTTTTCTCATTCAGATCCTCAGTACCTGTTGTATAGCTCGGGGTATGATTCCTCGATGCTTGTAGCGTGCGGTCGCTCCTGTCATCGTATAAGTTTTACCAGCCCCTGTTTGCCCATAGCACATGATAGTGCCTAGAAAAGTTTCAAAGCAAAAGAATAAACTCGGGAGGGAACGTCTGATTTTCTCAAATGCAAAATCAAAAGGATCTTTTCCTCCAAACTCCACTTAGGGTCAAAATAATCAAAAGAACAACAAATTACCATTATAGCCATTCAAAGCTTCAGACACCAATTTCTCAGCTACAGTCTCGTAAGCCAGTTCCTGGGAGGCATTGTGAAGAACACCATCCAGCCTAAAGGACCAGTCAGTCTGCCTGTTGTTCACAATTCCTTTCTTGACATCTTTTTTGATGTATATATCTATGCTCTGAAACCAAAAAAGAAACAAAGATGAAGATGACTTCAATAGCTAGGAAGAACTTCAACATTTATTTTCCCCAAAAATACAGCCGCCCACTCAAGACCGGAAGGTAAGGAGCAAATGGAGCCCAAATAAAGTTATTGGTTTTACTGACCTTGATGGTATTTTCTGGTAGCAGATGTTCTAGAAGAAGGAAATATGGCTGAGCTCATCTGTTTACGTTTCAGTGATGTGTGTGATTTGGTGTCCAGGGGAAATTATTAGTTAAGCAAGAGAGGGTGGGTATTAACACAGGGGTTACAAGGTTAAGTAAGGAACTTGCTTGAGGGGAGACAGAAATAGACTGCTTCCCAAGGAGACCTCCTAGGCTGGAATGGTGTTTGCCACTGAGAATTCCTCCAAGATCAGTCAGAGCTCCAATCTTTTTAAAGATTTTCTTTAGTGACTTTATCACAAGAACTATGTTTACAGCAGTGATACTTGCTGATAGCAAATCATGAGGCATGAGGTTCAATTCTGTGCCAGGCAGGAACACACGAACCAACATGCACTAAGAGGTCACGCATGGCCTTGAGGAATGCAAGAATTCCGCATTCCCACGGGCAAAATTGAAAACAAATTCCAAACCTTTCATGCTTGCAATCTCTTTTTCCTCTACCTTGTTGTCCCGCCCGAACTTGATCATGTCTTGAGCAAAATCAGCTGTTGGCTTGACTCGCACAAATGCATGGACTCTCTTTTCCACTGTATCCATATTAACTAAAGAAGAAGAAAAAGGAAAAAGCACATATGTAACAATATTGCATTCCCTAAAAAGAAATGTAATGCTATTTGTTATGGAAAGACAAGCTACTGAGTAGTCAGGTTTAAAAATAAAGTGCTGATTAAAGTTAAACGACAGTTTCTATCCTTTATTAGAAGCAACTGTGGGCAAATTGGCCTATGCTGAACATTTTTTCCAGCATTGTTCTGCTCAGAAAAATGAGCATGTAAAAAGCAAACAGTTGTCTTACTGATGATCATTTCTTCTTGTGTATCTGGCATGCTACTGTTTAACAACATACGCTTCTCTTCCTCTTAGCTTTGCAAAGCAAAACAATTGCAGGAATATAAGATGGATTTTCTTTTGTCTAATGTGAAGGCTTCTGTATGCATCAGTCCCTCGAGGGCCTGCTATTTCATAACGTCAGTCAATCCAGAATTGTGTTTCAAACTTCTAATGCTTTGAGGAAGACATATTATAGGTGAAACCGAGCCTAAAGTTACTTGTGTTTTTAGCAGTGATTACAACAGCTGTATTTGCATCTCCCTATGACATGATTTAAGAAGTGTGATTTTCTGATAGCGACCTCTGATTAAACCTCTGACACAGAAGGGATCTCAGAAAAAATACTTCAGAAAATGTTGCCATGGAGCTTGACTCTGTAACTCCTTTCCTTTCTCCACTCTACAATGAAAAATTTGATGAGGCCTGACTCATTGATGTAGTGTAAAATACTGTTTTCACTGTTGTATTCTACGATCTATAGCTATGTCCCTGAAACGAATGTGGGCATTGGAGCCTCTGCTGCATCTCTCAATACCTCATATTGTTATCTCTCAGCAGAGAGTAGAGCCTCCCCAGCTAAGAGCAGATCATTTCTATGACTACCTGCACATTCACGCTGAGATAAGGACAAGAAACAGTTTGCAAACTCAGCAAATGTCTTGTTAACCCATTCCACATGGGTGGAATGGGAGCAGACACATTCCATACGTAGTGAAGACATATGGCTCAAGACCCAGTTCAGCAGATTTCCCATTTTACATTCCCTCTCTAAAGGTGTCTTGGTTTTCTGTAACCATCCATACAACATCGTCAATGTCCAAAATGGGATCTTAGGTGGTATGCCAACATTTCCAACTCTCTGAACAAGTCATCTTGTTTACAGTCTGTATTGAATACATACTTCTTAGATCTACGCCACCTCTTCTTGGTATCAATATGCAAAAATATTTTGAAGTTCCTTTTGAACACCTGGTCTTCTGGTTTCCAGAAGAAAAACAGTCACATGCCTGACAACTTTTGGTGAAATTCTTATGTTGCTTTTCACAGGATCACAGACTTTTCTAGTCTATGCAAATTTGGTAAGTCACTGTGAACCTCTGGCAGGGCTAGATGATCAGCTAAGATCCACCTGAAGAGGACTCACTGCATATACCCAACTGTTAAAGCCTCACCTGAGAAACTTCTACTGAGTATTTTTAATTCCCTGGAATATGCAGACCCTGTGTTTCCTCTTGACTGCTTCCTATAGACTGCCTGTGCTCAACAGTTAGGTAATATCCAACAACCTCTGGTTTATACTTGCATACTCAGTATTTTTATCTATGATCTCCTCCATCACCTTATCTGCTGTAACTGCTCTAAAAGGAAACGAAGAAGTGTCATTTAGACCAAGACTTCTCTTTATTTAAAAAAGAGGTAAGCATTTGAATGACTAACTGGTAAATGTACCCTAGGTACACAGTAGGCCAGCAAACAGCACGTGTAGCTTAATTATTTTTGAATACGCAAAGCTTGAGGGAACCGCTGCGTGTGAGGAATTCAAATGCGGTGCCTTGCCCCCTTCATCATGGCGATATCAGCACGATGTCCACCATAAAAATGCAAAGAATCCACAATGATGCTAGGCTTCCGTTATCATCATCTCTGTGGTAACTAAGACAGTCTTCAAACAGACGAATGACTTGTGAAAAGGAATGATGATGAACTGCACGGATGCCATCGTAAGCATTGCCACTAAGTGACGTGCACAGAAAGCTGCAAAAATATTTGCCAGCACTGCACAAGTGAAGGTAGTAGCAGAATATGTACAAACCAAATGGAAGAAGAGCCATCAAGTTCTAAAGTTGGCATGCACCTTGCAAGTGCTGCTCACCTGGTTACTGAGAATTTTATAAATAACGAGACGCTTTTATACTACATAAAAACATCCCAGCGTTAGAGGGATATGCGCCTTATTTCTTTAAAGCTGCAGCCAGAAGCAAGGCAGGAAAAAGGAGCAAGGGAAGAAGCAAAACCTCTAATGTGAATCAGAGGGAGACAGAACAAATCCAGAATCCGTGCAATTTTCCTCACTGTAACAATGCCCATTGTTCAGCGCTAGGAGAAAGCAATTACTCATGAGATTATTAACAGAAGATGGGAACGAAACAGCTATGGTTAAGTAAAGGCATTCAGCCTCCATAGCCCAGAAAGCCCTCAGCCTCTCTGTTGTCTGTGTCTGCAGGAATACCTTTCACTATCCATTCTGATCACTGTTTTTGTGCCGCGGACTGAGATTCACAAAGATCATTGAATAAAGTTTCCTGTTTCAGCTCTCTGACAGACTCTTAACCAATAATGTAGAAATGAAAAGCTCTCCGGCTCATTAGCGATACCCCAAGCATCCAACTGATCTGATTTTTAATTGCTCTTTGTCTGCAGTGGAATTTTTACTGAGGCGCGATAAAGAAAACTGCACGTTTATCGGTCAGCTAACCAAAAATGTCTCTGGCTGTCTCACCACTTAAAACATCCTCCTCAGGCTGAAATGTAAATGTTCAAAGGACAAAAGCAAGGCTTGCCGTCACCATCAGTCATCATTCAGCATCTGTAACATATTACAAGCAAAGGAAAACAACAATCTCCATCACAATTCACAGCAAGAAGAGACAAAAGGCCTTGTTTTTCACCTGGAGTAATGCCGTATTTATTTCTAGTGCTACAGAAATAGCACAGAATCATAACACCACGAGTGTAGCACATGCCTACACTTAAATCAGGCCACTGGTTTTGAAGCTATTTACAGCAAGGGGCCAGGCCCCAGTTCCTTGGTCAGTCCTTGCACAACATCTGAAAACAGTAGGGCTCCCCCTCTGTTGGTCTCAAGATTAACAGACTACGTATGTTCAGAAATAATGGAAATGCGGTTATCTCTGCAGCGGAAACAGATGCCAACATGCCCACGCAGTACAGGCAGGCCAAAGGGAAAGCTCAGAGATTTTGGCGCTGACTGGCACAGAAAGTGCCCGCAGACAGCTACTGGGTACCCAGAGTAGTAGGAGTGTGGTTTTCAGTTCTACCTGAGAGACCCGAGTTTATCCACTGCAGAAGGACAGACCCTGACGTGGCCTCTAGAATTTGAACTCCATTGACGAGTTCAGAGTTGAATCCAGACAGCAAAAGACATCAAAAGTTCAGGTCTGCCCCAGCACATCTAAATGCCCAGGCCACGATACTCACAGTGTCACCTCCACTCCAAAGGGAAAAGGAGGAGAAAACGGCCCCAAATTACCCGCTGCTTACCCAGAGCGGGTGCTAAAGGACTAGACAGCGTGGGACACACCGGTAACGCGGTCCCATGAGAAGTGAGAGAGCAAAAGAGGTGGGATGCGGGTGACGGGATGGGGGAGAAGTGCCACAGACAGCCACGTGGATGTCACTGGGGACAAGGGCAACAGGAGGTAGTCCAGAAAGTGGCCAGGGATGGAAAGGGGCTGTGGGGACAGGGAAAGGGACCACCAGGCTGAGGTTGCGTGGCGGGGGGGACACAAGGCCTGAGGAGGGAGGCAAGGCCTTGATGAGGAGGAAGGCCTGGGGGGTGGGGAAGAAATGAGGATTGGGGTGGGAGAAGGATGAGATCTGAGGAGATGGCAGGACCTGGGCAGAGGAAGGGGGGGGGGGGGGGGGAAGAACGCCTTAAACAGGGGGGA